AAATAACTACCTTAGGGGGTAGACACAGGTCTACTACCTCAGAACAGCTGCCTCATAGAAGAACTACCTTAAGGCTCGGAGAAGGGGTTTCAAAAGGAGAGCAGCTGGTAGTTCTAATTGTTGTGTGTGAATGAGCTAAGAACAGTTTCAATGTACAAAATTCATTCTTCTTGTATTCTGAAGTTCAAGAATACAGGAAAGAATGAACCTCAGTGGATATCAGGTCTATGCATGCTGGTATACATTGGACCAGGAAAGATTTTGCACAATCCCAACACCCATAAGTTTCTCATAAGTCCTGTATTTTTCTCTTTAGATACTGGTACCTTGGGCCTCTGAAAACCAAAGCAGCTCACCTTTTCAGTACACTCAAGGTAAAGTATTACTGCCTCCATAGGTAACTAAAGAAGAAAAAGGAACCTTATGTATCTGGGAAGGGTGGAGAAAGGCAGTGTATGTATTCAGTGAAGTGCAGTAAACTGTTTGCATATGTAGCAGCTTACTGAGCTGCCTAGGAACACACACATTTGAGAGGTGTGTGTGTGTGTCTTATTATTATAAGACCTTGTCTGGGGAGCTGCTGAAGAATATTCAGAATTGTTAGGGGGACTAATAACCACTTGTGAAGGTGGGGAGAGACTGTGGTGCAGACGATTGCCATGAGAGGGTGCTCAGCCTCCTTTCTCCAATGCAGTCTTGCTCCAGGTTTTCTGATGATAATATTTTCCTCTGATTTATTCATCTGATGGAAGATGTGTCTATAATTAGACTGCATGTGAATGTTGATAATCAGACAGTTGCAGGCGTCCATGTATAATAAAATAAACATGAAGGTTAATTGTTTATGTCTCACCTTTTTAAAGTTGTCTGATGCTTAAGGGAACTTTATGAAATTTAAAATTTGACCTGCGTTAAAGGTCCTGCACTTCCACTGTCACTCCTTATCTAATCCCTTTTACTGTTGGCACACCGACCAACCTTTGTGTGAATGGAGTCAGAACACACAGGAACCACCACAGTGGTTAAGTCTTATAGTGTCCCCCCGCCACTGCCCCTCCTCTCCTAATCTGTGGCAGTGGCCAGCATAGGATAATTCAGAGGGGTGTTAATGCCCTGATCACTGACTGACAGGTCACAGCATGACACATGGGAAATGTCTTCTTAACATAGTGGTTGGCTTTTCTTTCCTGAAAATGAGTATTGGTAACTGTATACATCTGTATCCTACCCCATGTAACTAAGGATTTTCATCTCATTCATATAAATAACTAACCTGGAAACGCCGTTATTGCTCCATTTTTTGCCGCAATAATAATCATTGGGGATCCACAGGGTGGTTATCCCTTATGCTTAACATCCCTTCATCATATAATATCCTGAAGGGCCCCTTTTTTCCTTCTTTTAATATAGCTAAAAGAGTCTGACTGGCCTTTTCAATGCCATGAGTTGTTTTATATTCATCTGAAATCTCTCCACTTTTTAAAGTCTGTCGTTGCCTTTTGCCATTTTCTCTGCCCTTTTGAAATGGGGTGGCCATAATTAAGTGCAGTGGGAAGGGCAAAGAGCTTACCATTTGATGTGTAAAAGAGAATTACACTTCCTTCTAAAAAGATGGCTGAGAACTAGGAAGCATGCAAGAGTACCATTAGTGTTGGAGACATTGTAATTTGAAAGAGAGTCTAAGCTCAGGGCCCTGCTTGTCCTGTGCTTACAGTTGTTGTGCATGTGCTACTCTTCCTATGCGAGCCTGATTTTGTCTCATTAATATAAGCAAGTTGTACTGAAATCTTTCCCTTGTGTTCAACGGTGTGGAGGAATCTGGCTCAATAATGTATGGTCTAAGATTCAAACCAAGCTTATGACTTACAAGCCCTAATATGCCGAGAAGAATAGATGAATACTGTGTGCATGTAGGCTATTGGATGAGTTTCTGGAGTGTGTTTAATTTGAATATCAGCTTAATTGGCTGTGGAGCCTTCATAGTCCCTGCCAGCTGGGAGAACATCTTCTCCCACAAGGGAATCTAAAGGCTGGGGAGCCTTAAAAGTGGGATGAGCAGGTGGTGGGATTTTTACTCTTAGAGGGTTGTAGATGACCCCTCCCAGTCCCTCAGCCAGAATAAACAGATGGTTACTCTACAGAAGGCTATTTTTTTTCCTTCTTTTTTTTTTTTGTAAATCCCAGAAATGGCCTCAGAAGCATCAAGCCTCTCTCATGTATTTGGGTCCAACTGAGAGACCTCCAGAAGAGTCGGAAGAGAAGCTGCCCAGAGCCCCTTTATACGTGAGGATTTACAGAAGACTTCTGCAATACTGGTCACGTCCTGCAAAAGGTATGTGGGTATAGATATTGAGACAGACTCTGTTCAGAAGTGCAGCATGTACTGATAAGGCAATTTCGTGGAGAGGCTAATGGATGAGATCCCATGTGCACATTTTTATACTTGAATATCGGCTGCAGTATATAAACTTTTTGTCCAAGGCTTTGTTCATGATTGCTGTTCTTTCTCTGTGGTTGCCATCCCAAAGGCCCTGTCACATGATGCTACTCTCTTGGTTATTCCTACTTAATCATGTGTGTGCATAAAGGAACAGAACATTTCTGTGTATCCTGTTTGCTCCATAATGATACAGCCCATTCAAATCTTGACTAGATGAGACAACTTAGAAGGAAAACCAGATGGTTTGGTTGTGAACCTTGGGGGTTCTGGCTGGGATACTGAGTTCCCGTAGGACAACTGTACTGCACCTGAATGTCACAGCTTTAGCAGCATTCCTTCTATAGGTTGCTAAATGCTTCTATAAAAAAAGTTCAGGAGACCTGTCAGTCTGTGGGACTGTTTTTAGGACTTCAATGCAGCATGGGTGATAATTTGATTGATTACTGCACAAACTTTACTTGGCCCTCACAATGTCCCCCTCTCCCACTGTAGATTCAGAAATATGAAAGAAATGGAGCTTGTGGAAATAGTAAGTTGAAGTGGTTTTAGCTGGCACAGGTCTTTTATGCTTCACAGCAGTAGAACACTGGTCTGTGTAGTTTACTTTCTGCTTAATGATCTCTTCCCTTCTGGATTCTCAGAAATCCCCCAAGAGGCAGCTCATGAGGCCTGGGAAGAAGTGAAGCTGTCCGCCGTTGAACTCTCCATCACGACTCAGAACAGGCAGCTTGATCTGATGGTGAGAGCACAGTTTAAATTCTGAGCATTCCCTTCCAGGCCAAGATATTCCTTTCTCATTGAGCTCCCATCTTTGTGCTGTATGCAGTGTCTGCAGGAGCATCAGCCCACAGAGGAGTTCAAGGGTGGGCTGGTTTTATGAGTTATTGTACAGATTCTGGGGGGGCATGTGAGACTGGATTGCGAGACCCAAGTTGGGCAGATAGGGAAAAGCAGGTCTTACAGGGAGCTTTCACAAACCAGATTCAAGCTTTAGGATTTCAGAGCAGGAAAAAGTTCCCCCCCTGAGAAGAGCTTCCTCTCCTTGCGCTGTGGTGGGAGAGTGGAGGTATTTTTTTTTACTGTTGCTGAAGTGAGGCAGTGAGCCTGGGTGTCTGCCTGAAATGTTGTCTTTTTCTCTTTACTGTTTGCAAAGTGAAGGACCAAAAAGTGTTGGCAGTAAAACAAGGACATCAGCCATTTTAATTTAAAGAGGGTAGGAACTGGTGATCTTTTTTTTTGGAGGGGCAAATCAAGCAAGCTGTCCCTGTTAGTCTCTTTGGCATGCTTACACAGCTGTTCATGTCCCTAAAACCCCCTCCCTGGCTGGAGTCCATGGCTGGTGTGATTTCATTACTGTGAAAGCTTTCTGGGTAGATTTCGGTCATTTCTTCTGATGGTAAGTGCTGGGCCAAAGTTCTGGCTCTGTAGGACCAGAGACAAACAATGCAACATGGTATAACCTTTCATCCCTGCGCTGATCTTCCACAGGACAGAGATTAGTCTATGCCAGCTGTCATGGCGCTCTTGTGATGGGGACATTTGTATGCTGAGAACTGCGCAGTTAGCAACAGCTTTAGTCACTGCTGAACTGAACTGGTCTGAGACCAGTGATCTTAAGTATTGTAATGGGAACTTTAGTGTTCCACTAGCACAATCCAGTGCTTGGGGTCACCTCTTTACTCCTTCACTTCATTTCAGAGCAGCAACAATAAGTAACGGCGTTTTATTAAGTGGGAAGTGGGGGGCATATAGCCACCTCTGGTCACCAGCACAGTTAGAATAGAACAGCTCACATAACCGCAGTCTCATCCCAGGAACCCTGAGCATCTTCATGTATCGAGTCTTATGACCGCAGTGATCCTTTGGAATCCACCGTGTAGCTCCACAATCTGTAGATGTGACCCATGAGTAACAAGTGTTAGTCCTCTCTCCCTTCCGCACTTGACATAGATCTGACCCATATTCAGAAAGATCTGTCACATATACATATGCTAGAAATCCTCCTAGTATAGATGCACCTTGGAGAGGTAAAATACTAAAATATGCTATACTAGTAAATATATTTTTTGTTAGTAGGACTGCATCTACTTTAGAACGTCTTCCAGTGTAAAATGATTACATCTCAACCAGTTTTGAAAAGCTTTAGTTTTGCTCTATTTACAAAATCTTTTGTGTAGACCTGTCTTAAAGGTATGTAACAGATAAGACGCTTAAGGGCAGCATTCAGCTGAGGTAGGAGTTTAGAGAGAGAGCGTGGTAAAGTTTGAACTTAAATCTGTGTTTTCACAGAGCCAAGGACTAAATGAAATACGTTATTTTTAATTCTAACACATACTGAATCCAGTACATATTGACTAAGAACTGATGGTGTGAACAAAAGTAAAAATGAATAGTCTATTTTTGTTCTCCGTAGCAGTTGGGAAAAATACAAAAAAAAAGACCAACTATGTAAATATTAGAATAATAATACTGAACTTTCTTGCTTAATAGTGCTATTTGGTATGGGAGAATATAAGATATTGGTTTTAACTTGGCACTGTCTCTGTAAATTTAAAAAAAAATCTTTTATCTCTCTCCAAAAATACCCCAGCCAACCAACCAATCAGCCACCTCTTCTGTGAGGGACAGTTTGGGATGGGGGAACAGGCTCTTTCTGTGCAGGGATTTCTTGAATGTACTGCTGCGTGGCATGTATGACCCACAGTAACCATTTGGATTCTAAATCTTTTCCGTAGCGCACAGAAGACTTCATGAATATTTGCATTGAACCAGATACAGTTAGCCAGGGAAACTTCATAAACAGAGGGTGAGTATTAGAAGGCCACCTTAAGATGTAAGGTATTTTAAATTGGTCACAAAACTAATTCTATGTTCTTGGTTTCCCTGTGGTACATGCTGTAAGCATAGGGTGACCATAGGTCCTGGTTTGGCTAGTGCAGTCCTGGATTTTGAAGTCCAGTCCTGGCCAGTTGGTCAAAATTAAAATGAGAGTCCCAGAATCACAGGGGTGCAGGGTGTAGTGTGGTGGGGAGACGGAGCAGCATGGTGCACCCTGGTGGAGTGTGCCCAACCCCTGCCTGCTGGCCTCTGCCACTGCCTGCAGCAGTGCCACTGACCAGGGATGGGGAGCAGCAGTGTCCCAGATGTCCTTATGGTCACCCTATGTCAGCATCAAGCTGTGTGGCTGAAATGGAGAATGCCTTGTGAGAATCATGGGTTTTGTCTTTCTAACCCACATTACTTTTAATGTTACTGGTCCTTGTTTCTACACAGTGTGGCTCCAAGTTCTTTCTCGATACTGTGACTGATGTTTAGTACAGCGTCCTCAGGGGACTGGTGCTTTAAAAATGGGCATGAAAATAATACCCCTGCCCCAGAAATCTTGTATGGTGGGATTAGGGAGACAGGATGGAGTAGAATCAATGTGACCAATCCATTGATGTTTAGACAGTGTCTTGTTCGTTCCACATTCAGGTTTTTTAAGAGAAGGAGTTAAGATCTTCAGTCTTTTTACTGGTTGACTCCTCAGTGACAGGGAAGACTGAGCTGGAAAGACCTTTGGATAGAAGTACATTTTTAAGGGGGATAGTATGGTGGGGACTGACCAGGGCAGAGAAGAGAGTTTTAGGGGAGGGAGGGTGGTCCCAGGCTCACAGCCTTCTCACCCATTACCTACCACCTGCATCATGTGGGGCACTCCGGAGATTGTACTCATTTCTTCTGATCTGCAAATAAGCCATGAAGACATGTTAGATGCTGGTCAGAGCTCATTTCTTGCAAGTGGCCCATTACCAAGTAATACTGCATTTTCATTGAAGTAAAGGGACTTGAAATGTCTGATTTTTTTCGATTTTTTTTTTTTTTTTTAAATACTTTTTTCCCATTCCTAACAGCTGGCGTTTCAGTTGCTGCTGCTGTTCTCCAGCCCTAGGGCCCCCTCTAGTGAAGCCAAATGGAAAGTTTGGAAATGTTATAAGTAGCTTTTAGATGCCCCTTGGTAACTGCACATCTGCATCTTGTTTACAATATTAATAGCTGCAGGCACCTTATTTGAGCATGCCACGTTACCTCAACGGGAACAAAATCTGCCAGCCTGCAAGCACATAACTGATCAGGAGTTGCTGTGTTCACTGTCGGTCGCTGGGTTTGGATCTGTGCTTGAAAGACTGGTAGAAGGAAAGCATGTTGCTACTGTTACCATCAGCAGCAAAAGGACCCTGTCTTTCTAAGCAGACTGTGTTGGTTAAGATGTCCAGGGTATCGGAGAGGTGTGAGAGAATTAGCTGGATTCCAAAGGGAGAGGCCTCTCTCATTCACATTCAGTCACCAATACAGTAATACGCAGTACTTGTGCTACTGGCTGGAGCTAATTAACAGCAGCAACAGAAAGCTGCAGCTCCAGCAGCTTCAAAGAATCATGTCTTTTTAGCTTAGTCTCAGGCAATGAAAGAAGGAAACTGCCCAGCCCTTGAAAGAGAAGACATTTGAAAAGGCTGCTCCTACAAGGTAGAAATGAACTAAGCAAATGGCTTGGATGGGAGAGCTGCCATTATATGTCACCTGAAGGAAATTCTCCAAAGCCGTCTCCATCGCAGAGTCCCTGTTGTCACAGTGTCCCAAGCAGAGGAGCTTGTCTTCAAGAACATGTGTGTGAGATGGGGTGACAGGGTTCTGTCGTGCTTTACATAGCCAGCAGCTCTGCATTGAGGGGGATATCTTCAGCAGTATTGTGAACAGGCAGGTGTGAAGGTGATTGATAGTGCAGCCCTTCTGTGCAGTCTTTGTGGGAGATGGGGATATGGGGCCAATTTGGAGTGGCCACTTGGGAACCAGAAGGAAGGGCTAGAGGGCAAGAGCCAGTAGAGTTTAAGAGAGTCATGCCATGAGTTTTAAAGTGCACCAAACCTTCATATTGCTGCTGGGTAGGGAGAAAGGAGAGGTGAGAGATGGCCTTGTAGCCATCAGTAACTTCCTACCCCACTCTCCAGCTTGAGCACTGGATTGAATGGTGTGGGCTGTCACTTCATGGCATGTGCATGGTCACCACCTGGGGTAAGAAAGGCACATCCCCTGTTGTATAATGCTGTGTATTACAGCAGGTGGTGCTGTGGGTTATAGTTGCTTGTATGTTCAGAGTTAGAATATATGGTGGGGCATACTTGGCAACTTGTGCTGTTATTAGGTATTTTTATTCTTGTTTTACTTTTTTCTCTTTTTTTTTTGGTCTCCCTCTCTCTCTCCTCTCTTTACATGAGAGTAAGAATCTGAGTGAAATTGAGCCCATTTCTGGCCCTTGGGTTGGACCTCTAGGGATGTATTTGTCCTCTTTTATGTCTGTCTGCTTCTCTGGCCTCTTCCCTTTCCAACCTTGTCCTGCAACCTTGCTCCGTGTCCTGTTTCTGTCTTGTCTTCCTTGATCCTGAGGTTGGCAGCTGTCCTTGCTCCCTGTAGGGACTTCCTTGGGGCCCTTAGTGGACAGAGAAGTCTGCCTGTATGGGTATGTTAGCAAGGGTCAG